CACGGGAAAACCTCCTTCCCCCAACAGCTCGAGACAGCTCAAGAGCAGCAGCACACTTTGCCTTTCCCCGAGCAGGCACGGCAGCGAGCCGTCTGCCCTGTCACATTCCCATGGCTCCAGCTGCTCAGAGCTCAGCCGGGTCCCACCACACTTCCCACATGTGTGGGCTCACAGCCTGCACCACCAGCCTGGGGTATGCACACAAGGAAAAGCTCTCCCTGGCAGGACGGGTCCAGCCTGTCTCATCCATCTTCCTCTCCAACCGGTCACTCCGGGCAATGCTACAGCAGATTTAGTTTTGCACATCTATCCCAAGTCTCCCACGTGAAGAATCCCTGCAGGGTCAGTGACCTTTGAGGAGATCCCACAATCTGTGGGCAGACATCTGCATATCTTCTCCAGAGAAAGGGTACAGCCAAGCAAAGAGGCAATGGAACCTGGCAGAGGTCCTGTATCCCAGTGTCACGCATTAGGAAGAAAGGAACAAACACCCAGGAGAGGTAAGGGCAGCACAATAATGCTGGTCAAATGCAAAGGGTCCATAACCAAAGACCCCAGGGTGTCTCACCTTGCTCTCTAATGGAGAGCTGCACCTCCCTCACGTGGACACACACCCCTTCCCACCTGCAACAAGCCTCCCCTGCACGTTCCTCCACGCCTTCCACCACCGAGACCAGGCACGGGGCTTGTCAGCGTGTGTACGTATCTATTGATACAAACCCAGGCTTCCTGGGCAATCAATAATGCTATTTAAGAGATAAGTCTTGCTATTGACTGGCTGCTGAGCCCAGCTCCTGATTAATTTAAAAGAGAGAGAGAGAGAATGGCGAGGGAGCTCAGAAGTGTTCCCAACGTCACCAGGCGTCAGTGTGCATGCTCAGGCTGGGCAGGCAGGGATGGATTGGGGCAGGGATGGACTGGGGGTGCTGTCTCTGTGTTACAACAGGATGGGGCTATGCAGGGACCTGTCTTCTAAGGGGGATGCAACTCCACCACCAAACACCTCCATGACCTGAGAAAGGAGTCATGGGTCTCTCTAATCCCAGTAGGAACCACAAGGTATGTCAAGGCAGAAACACACTGATTTTTACACAGTGGAGGATCTGTGCACCTTTGGGGAAGAAAAAAAAGGCCCATCTGTGAATGCATGTGAGCATTCACTGTGGCATGCACAGATTAAAACTGGGCATTGTGTTCCCTGAGTCCAGCTGTGGCTGTGCCAGATTTGAGGCTCTTCTACCACCCTGCACCCAGCCATGGTGTTTTGATCATCATTTTGAGTGGCTTGAAAGAGTTTTTTGGCTCCCTCAAAGGCAGCTCCAGCCCATCATGTCTCTGTCCTGGCTGCAGCAGTCTCTGCTCTGGTGCATGTAGGGCCTCCCCTCCTTTTTCAGGAAAGGACAACTCCCACCAGAGCAGGTCAGAGCAGGAGATGAGCAGAGCTCACCCAGTCTCACAAGGGAAGGCTGTGAAGCTGCCATCCCTCCTGTGGACGACAGCAATCCCCTACGAGCATTTGAGGGAGCACGACAGAAGGTAAGGCACTGCTGAACCCAAAGGACAGTTCTGCCACACCAACTACCCAGAAATAATATTCATCCAGATCTGAGATTTCCAGCCCTCCAAGAAGCAAGGATCTGAAAGCCACAGAAAAAGAAACGCTGTTTTAGGTAAGCTGGATCAAGCGGAAAAAATGTGTGCCTCACCAACCCAGAGGCATCTTCCAGCCCACAGTGCCCAAGGCCACCACTTTGATGAGCTGCACAACTTGAAGGTGCTGTATTTCCTTCCACGTTCCCAAGTGCTTCTCCCTGGTTGATGTGGATCCACTGTCTCTGTCCCCTAATTCCAAAGCTGGAGCAACACAACAGCACCGGTGCTGTGGATGGCACATCCAAACAGGCCCTGCTCTGCCAGGGAGCAAAAGGCCCCATTGCATCAGCTCATCTCCCTCCTCCCATTGCAGGCTCTGAGACATCGCCCAGCGATGCAATGGCTGTGCCCTGGGAGGGGCAGGTGGCATCAAAAAGCACCTCAGCCCTGGGAGATTTGGACTGATTTCTGCCCAAATGGGAGAGATGGGAGCAGTTTTGCTGCGATGGTGGGGGGCCCATTCGGTGGAAGACCCTCAGATGATCTGAGCCTTGTTCATTAGATATGCACTTTTTCACTATAAAACCACAGTGCCTCAGGGCTGGAGCTGCCCTGGCAAATGACGCTGAACTCATGGGTATGAATCAGGAGAGAAACTTGCTGATTGCAGCGGGAGAGGGGAAGGACCAGTGCTAAGGCAGAGCTGAGGACTTTTGGCTTTGTCCGTCAGTGTCAGGGTGCAGCCACCAAACAAACCATAAAAGCATCTCCCTGGTATCACAAGGCTGCAGCTGGAGGTAAAATTCCAGCTCTGCAGGTCCACAGGCAAATCCCAGAGGCCTATTTACCCCCAGCATGCAGGTCAGCTCCCAAGAGCTCAGGTAGGGAAGCAAAACACGAAGGCAGCTGGTGCAGACAGCATTGTCTCACCTGACTGCTTCCCACTTGGGGCCCTCTCCTGTGCTAGATGGGGCTTTATGCTTTGCAGTTTCAGTTCAAAGCTTAGACTGGCTTAGTCCGAGACAGAAATGAGCTCCAGACCTCGCTACAAGCTCACTGTTGTTCACTGCAGGCATGTGGCTGCCCTCCTGCCTCAGGAAGCTTGAGGCCAACAGGTCCCTGTCCCTGTCCACCCTAACACGTGTCACAGCACCTCTTTCATTCCTCAGCCTTACCTCCAGCACCCCACTCCTTGGCTTACAGAGAGGGACCAAGCCTGAGCCCACTTTATTTGCATCCCCACTGTGCTCCCCACACCTGGCACTGCACAAACAGGATGTGTTTTTCCATCTGCTCCACGGGCCCATCCTTAACAAGTGATCTCAATTCCCCTGAGGTGGGAAAGGCTCACAGGCAGCCAAGTGAGCTGCTGGGAGCCAGCAGCACTGGCCCTTGGGACAGGGCAGGGGACACCAGGACAGGGCACAACAGCTGGGGCTGCTGCAGGGACAGCCCCTGGTGCAGCAGTGCTGGAAGAGGGAAGAGGCAGACGTGCTCCAACTGTGGGGTGCTGGTGGCTTGGTGCTACCCACGCTGGAGCACCCAACCAGCTGCACCCCAGGGGTCCTGCAGCAATTGCCTACAACAATGCTGAGGTCGAGGCTTCAAAGCGGTGCTGCAGCACAGGGGTGGCTGTTGCCATGCCAATCAAGCGGGCAGTTGGCACACTGAACTGCCAGATGAGGAGAGCAGCCACTCTGGTGTCCCAGGGGGCTGATTTCCCCCACAGGCTTCAGCAGCAGGATGGCAGAGCCTGAGGAGATCAGCTGCTCTCAGCACCAAGCACTACTTGATGGACACAGCCCCAGAGCACCTGGAGCCCACTCCCAAGCCCCCCCAGCCCTGCCACTGCCACTCTGGCCAGCAGCTGTTTGGCACTGCCCTCGTGGCTGCCTGGCCATGGCCACAGTGGAAGGAGGCAGCCAGCATGGCAGCAAATGCAAGGGAAATTTCAGCATCTCGGAAGGGGGGTGAGCACGGTAGGAGGTCCTCAGGCAGCAACCAGAGAGCAGGAGGCTGCAGGTTCAGCCACACAGCTCAAAGACACAGGGACAGGGCACTGTCTGGGCAGGCAATGATTAGAGGGGACGTCAGAGTGAAAAAAAAATGAAAAAAAAAAAAGGATGTTGTTTTGTCTGCTGCTCAGGTGCAGTATGAACTCCTCACTGCAGGACAACATGGATGCCAGCAGCTCGCTCAGGGGCATGGATGACTATGGAGAGCTGCTAAACAGAGGGGAGCACTCTGCCCAGGTCTTGGCCCGGAACAGAGGCAGTGCCAGCCCTCCCCTGCCCTCAGCACCTGCCTCCACGCAGAGACAGGCCACAGGCTCAGCTTGACCCCAAACCATTCTTGCCCTCGAGGCAGTCTTGTGCCAGGTGAGCTTCTCACACACAGGAACACACATCCCAGCCTGCCCTGGTGCAAACCAGGTTTTCTCTCCTCCACCCTTCCCTTGTAAACATGGGGAAACTGAGGCACCTGAAGATAGAAGGTGGCACACAGGTTGTCATGATGGAAGAAAAAGGTGAGAATGTTTTCAAATTCCCCAATAGCAAGCCATCTCTCTACCAGTCCTGCTGCCAACAAGAAGGAAAACTTATCCCATCCAAATTGCTGTAGAATAGAGAAACGAGGAAAAAAACCCAAACAAGCCTCAAGCCAGGAGCCAAGAACATTTGTCTCTGTTCTTCCAGCTCAATCAGACACAATTCACGATGGCAACTGCCATGATACCAGACTAATACCAAGAACGTTGCCACCCGGGAGCATGCCAAGGTGACCCGGGGGGGAAGTGGCAGAGCTCTCTGCCCTGAGCCCCACTTTCTGTGCTCAGCCTTGTCCTGCCCAGGGGCCCCGGGATGGGGAGAGCCACCCCAGGCGTGCACGGTGCTCAGCTGCACTGATCGGATCCGGACACGCGAGCCCCTCGCACAGATTCCTCCTCCCGCACACACACCGTCCCAGGGCTACCGGGGCTGCGACAGAGAGACGGGGCAGCGGGACGGCCAGGAAGGGGGCACCCCATCACCACCGGCACCAGCAGAAGGCCACACACACGTCTCTCTTGCCGACCCTGCGGTCCGGGCTCCCATCGGAGGACGAGGCAGAGCCCTGCTCCAGCTCCTCCACGCTAGCGATGGATTCGGAGCACCCCGCGCCCGGGGAGCTGGGCATCCCTCCCGACACGCCGCGGGAGACGCGGAGCGGCCGGGACTGGGGTGGCGAGGAGGTGGCAGGGAGGGGGCGGCCGCTGCCCGCCCCTCGCAGTCACCTTGCTCCCGCCGGAGCATCCCGGGGCAGCCGCCGAACTCCCGCGGACGGGCAGGTGCGCGGGACCGACGGGTCTCCCCGCCCCGATCCCGCGGCATCCCGGCGGGCTCCCCTCGCCCCGGGGGAGGGCTCACCTGGGGTCCGCCGCCGCCGCTCCCTCAGGAAGCCCCGCGGCTCAGGCGGGCGGCGCGGCGGGCGGGCAGGGCAGGGCACCCGCAGCCCCCCGCCGCCGCCGCCCCCATGGCCCGGCCGCCGCCCTCAGCGCTCGGACGGGCC